GTGATGCCACAACCATATCTGACGCCTCTTGTGATCAACAGCTCCTTAGGCGAGATTAACCCATCTTGTGCTGACATCATCCATAAAATAAAGATCCCCCCTCTTAGTACCACGACCAATTATCTCCTTCGTGAGAATATCTTGTATAAGACAAAACTTTGGATACATTAGCACACAACACTTCAATTGTTCAGTAGCTTGGCCATGAGACATCAATTTATGCTTTAGTGAAGGTACAAGTAATGTATGAGGCAAAGAGAGAGTGGGCGTGAGGCGCACGGTGCCAGCGCCAGTTACAGGTGAGGTGACTCCATTAACATTAGTAATATTACGTCAAAGTGGAACAGTATCACAAGCTAAATCAGTGGGATCATAAGTCATATGGTATGTGGCACCAGAGTCAATGATCCATCCGGATTGAGTACCATCACTATTCATATTAAAAACATAACCACAGTTACCTGAGGACTCCGGAAACATGTCGGAAGAACTCGAAACCGGAGGAGGATCATCTTGAGATATCAAAGATAATTGGGACATAGAGGTGGCAAGATTGGCTTACCTAAGCTTGGCTTACTCATCTCATTATTTCTGAAGCTTCAACGGTTCCCACCAGTCAGGATAGCCATGCAATTGGAAGTAATTATAACAGCCATGCTTCTCATTACTGTAGTAAGTACAACCACCAGCTGGGATGGGTGGTTTAGGATGAGGAAGACGGGGACCCGTGGTAGGCCGTGAAATTGTCCTAACAACAAAGAGCGAGCTAGGCTCGGGGCAGTAGCCTGGGGTTGTAGTCCTAGGCTCGGTGCAGGTGACTTATCGGGGGTGCGAGGATGAGGTGAAGCTACGGCTCGTGTGGCAGGTCAAGCCACCATGGCTGCACTACTTGGCAGCTGTCATCCGGTATTCATCACAGCTTGTCGTATTCCCTCCCAGCGAACATAGGCAAGAGTTTGTTCGACGGAAGGAAGGGGCTCAGTTTGTAGAATATCACTACGAATTTTACCAAACATCTCATCTAGTCTTGCAAGCAAAATGTACACACGATCTGTTTGAACAATTTTATTAAAAATTTTAATATCAGCACCGCACTTCATCGAATTAGGTCGATGATAATCAATCTTCTGCCACAAAGATTGAAGATTACTATAGTATGTCTCCATCGGTCGTCCATCTTGCCTCATGCGAAAGGCCTTGCAGGTAAGATCATAAACTTGAGGTATATCGAAACCGTCATAATACGTGTGAGCAACCGCGTCCCATACTTCTTTTGTCGTCGGTAGTCGAAGAAGGTATCCAATCAAATTGGGTTCCATAGAGTTGATGAGCCAACCCTGAAGACCGGATCGTCGATAAGTGGTTGGGGATTACTCCCAAACAAGTAGCCCAACTTGTCCAACTTGTCTAACTTGTCTTTTCCAACAACAAACATCTCAACAATCTGAGACCAAACTCCATAATTGGCACCATTGAGTTTGATGCCAATCAAAGCAGTAGACGAATCATGATGGACAATCTGTGCAACAACTTGCGGTATAGGTATGGTAGGATTCATGGTAAGGTCGGTTAGGGTAGTAGTGTTTAGTGTAGGAGTAGAATCGGTTAGGATGGGGTTGTCTCCACTGGGGAGTGGTGGTAGGTTCTCCATGGGAGGCCGAGTTTGCTTGAAGGAATGGGCAGAGCAGAAATCCTAGGATCTCTGCTATGATACCATGCTAATTAGGGCTTATTTTGGGGTTTAATTTCTTGATATCATTCTTCTCACCAAGGAGGAAAATATATAATATACAAGAGTGATTTACAAGGAAAGAAACATCAAATAACCTAATTACAATCTGATTACAAGGACTTAAATAGGTAACTAAACTAATTACAAAAGGTCAACTCTCCAACAGGAAGTTTTAACTGAATGATTTTATTGATATGAAGTAGAGTACAATATATACAAGTCACAAACTTATTACAAGTAACATTCTCTATGGTATTAATGAGAGCGAAATCTCAGTGTTCCTTGCACTAGTTTGAAGTAACCTCGAACTTTATATATAGCTGTAGTTTTGGTTTTCACACTTATGGTGTAAGTAGTAAATATGTTTCCTGTTTGGTTCTATGAACCGAGAATCACCACCGAAGGGCAAACCTAAAACTACAAACTCTAACAGAGAGAGAGACTACAAACTCGAAGTACTAAAAACTTGAATGACATTTCTCATTTGGAGACTGCAAAAGTGAACAAAAGAAAAAACATACTATGGTTGTGGCTTTATATATATATGCATACAACGGCACAAACCAAAAGAATGCTGCAATTATTTTGGTTGAACACTAACCAAGTTGATTGCCAACAAAATCTGACAAAAACCCAAATTGCGAAGTCCTTCAAGTCATTCATTGTTTGAGTTAATGACTCCAGAAAGTAAGAAATTAAAAACAGAAAAGCAATAGAGTACATGAAAAAGTCAGACCGAAATCAAACAGAAGGAGCGCAATGCCAAGAAACGAAAAAGGTAATCCATTCCAGGAAGAAGTGATCATCATGAAGCACTGGAATCAAGTTACCAACTCTGATCTTTTGGACAGATTTGATAAAACTTGGGGTAGATCCATACCCTTTATATTTGGGGCTTTTGCATTCACCAGGAATGGTCTCATTATAAATGAAAATGTCGTTTTCGTCTTCTTACGTTTGTGTCCCACAAGTAGAAATTGAAACAACCTCGTCATCTGTAAAGTCCAGGTTCTTTTTCATGTTAGTACTCTTGATATGTGTCTTATGAGCACCGACTATTTCAACCTTGGACGTTGTGTTTGTGACATCAGTAAAACCAGAAACCTCTGGGGCTTACTGTGCTTTTGCTAATAGGTACAACGAGTAACCCATCTTTTCGGTCTAAAAAGTAGAATCTTTGTTTGTGAGTCCTATAAGCAGTACATTCAATTGTACTTGTCATGGCTCGAGTACTACGAATGTTGACTTGCACCCACATATTGGCTCCACGACGAAGTACATTCACCTCGAGTTCATCATCATTGATACGACCAGTGACACAGACAGTGCAATCTTGGGAAATTCGATGACATGAAAACGCTACAACATGATCAGAGACTTTCGTGATAGGGGATTCCGGAAGGTCTATTTTTGTTTTAGAGAAAGGACGAAAGACAAACATTGATGAATTACTACCACATTGGCCTTCTTTGAATAGAAGAAGCCATCCTTGGTGTGATGCAAGGCAAGTCGCTCCATCCAATTCCGGAAGGCTCATGTTGAACTTTGTACCACAATCGGCTACCAGTTTGCAATGCTGACCAGAATTTAGTTTTTCATCCCCAGTCCCATACAATAGAAACCAAGGCTTAAAGTCTTGTTCTAGCCGAATCCGCGGAGGAAGTAGAATTCCAAGCCTTGCAATAACTGCGGAAACGAACCAGCTTAATTAAGCCTAGACGGTCTGCTATCATTGACAGAAGTTCAGGAGGAAGATCGGACCACGATTGCATTAGCAATTTTTTTTCCACAGACATTTTGCCACAACGCTACCTGCTAGATGTAGAAATTATAATCTTCATAATTATGTTCATACAAGCGTGTATATTTGACGTACAAGGATCTCCACAAATCACGAATACATTCGGAATCAGATTACAATATTAATTCCTAAGCCGAGATATTATTTCCATAGACAAGACTCCTCTAACACTAGAGGCATGGAGATATAGATGCTACTTAATAGTTTTGGTGAGAATTGAAAGGCTGATCAGTTTTGTTTTTATTTTCTTTCACAATAAATTGAACTCAAGATTGATTGAGATTGAAGTGGAAATTTTGGTGTGATCATGATCATATTCATATGCACGACAAATTTAGGAAAAACGAGAACACGAAATTAATTAAACCTAACAAGAACAAATAAAATGTTTCAGAACTCAAGGAAAATGATAATAAAAGTCCAAGAGTATGAATAAAAAATTGAAAGAGATAATTAAGAAGGACGTACTTTCAGAATTCGTCCAACGAAACACCGGCCCTCTCCAAAACAAGTCACTGGAAGGATTTCTTACAGACATTGTGTGTATATATACAGTGTTTACATATCTATATACAAAAATAGTTCTAGTTTCACTAGTTTACCAACGAATGAGCTTAAAGATAAATACATCATTAATAAATAATTGTAGATTAATTAAAACGAAAGATTTATCAAATAAAATAAAAAGTATCCAAGTAACTGAATTTCTCAAGGGTACTTTCATCATTTCATTTCAATTTACTTTGTTATGACTCAGAACCAGTAGTATATTATTACGCGTCAATCCATTAATCGCCTTGGTTAATTATATGTGAAATGAGAAAGAGAACCTGATTGTATACAAACTGTTCACAAATAGAGGACTCTTCAATTTGGAGTATATTCCTACAGCTCAAGTGGTGTGGAAAGGATTTGCAATTAACATACTCACGAAAAAATTTGGCGGGAAAATGTTGCATAAACTTGGGATTTTATGCAATCTAGTGTAGGGCTGGGAATTTTTGCAGTATTTTGGGGAGTTTGCAGGATTTTTCTGCTCTCGAGTTGTTGGAAATATGCCTATTTCAAATGAATAATGCTTGTTTGTAGAAAGAAGAGCAGCAAGTTCTACTGAAATGAACAAGTGCCCAATCACAAACGAATATGTACCCAAACAATTGAAGAAAAGACATCAACGACCCACAAAACACACAATCTCCCACCACATCAACGCTCTTCTTTGACAACCCCTCACCTTTCGTAATTTGGATAGAGCCTTAGAGATCGAGCTTTGGTTCTTGGTTGGTACATTGGGATAGTGGTGTTTCTTCTCATAGTTTGCGATTTCAATTGTTCAGGCACTTGTCCATTTTTAATTGAATTTTCAGCCGGACTTGCTTCTCTTCTTTCAGTAGCCAAGCATTATTCATTTCAAATTCTTAGCTGACTGATAACAGCAGCAGCAGCGTACAAGAAAACATGCAGAGGAGAGGAGACTTGAAAATATTACATTGCCTTCTTCCCTTAAATATTTACATAAAGAAAAACAATGTCTGCTTCAATATCCTACGGATGATGAATTGGGACTCATGCCTGAAAGTCTTGGAAAAAGAATGTTATAATATGCAACCATTTGAACCTATTGAGAACTTTTATAAAGAACTTAGTCACAACAGACAACAGTAGGACGTATATATAGTGCTCTCTCTTTATATCAATCAATTCTACTTGGGTTTCCGCTTCGCCAATTTAGATGTAGAGACCTCAAAACTTCTCTTAAAAGAATTGGTGCTCCCTTGTGAATCTTGTAGAGCTTGCTCTAGCACCTCTACCACCTGACTCATGGTTGGCCGGTCCTTTGCGTTATTGTTCAGACAGCTATCGGCCAACTTGGCAACATTCTGAGCTGCAGTAAGAGAATACTGGTCTCTCAGGAGGGGATCTATTACCATGCTGAACCTTTTACTGTCAGCGGGGAACTGTCTAACCCAGTAAAGAAGCTTCTGTTCTGATATGGGGCGGTTCTTGTCTAAGACACGCCTGCCTGTTAGGATCTCGTACAGTACCACACCGAAACTCCATAAGTCACTACTGGTTGAAAGATGGCCTGTTTTTATATATTCTGGGGCTGCATATCCATAAGTCCCCACCACCTGATGGATACAGTATGCATAAGTGATAATTCTAGAACATAAACAGAGAATTAAAATTTAAACGGCGAATCCATGCTTCTTCCAAACACATAATGCACTTCAAAGAAGATTGTGGCCACCTTTGAATGGGGAAACCAAGGCCACGTTTGGACAACGAGACTATACAGGGTAAATTCATTTAAAATGGACAAACAGAGTCTTGCCGCACTTGTGAACTTAAAAATAATGGGACTAGACTACTAAATTGAATGACTTCGAATATAATCATAGACAAGAAGTCCCCTCTATAGGGGTCACTCCCCATGAGACTAGACAGGACTCGGTCCCAATCCAGTCTGATGTTCCAAACGATGCACAACAGAATTCCGTTAGTAGTTCAAGAACAAAATTCAAATGAAACTACGGTGTAAAGAACTTGTGTCGTATCTTGAAAAAAATTGGGACTATACTCTATACTATGAAATGTACTGGGACAAATAACGTGGGTGGAACTAAGGATGCTTTTGACATGATATGTCATACGAGTCACAGAATAAGCTGCTAATGCAACCTGTAAAGATGCCACTATATATGTAGCTGGTACAGCGTGGCCCAGAATTATGAGGGTCAGTTTTGGGACTCTAGACCCTAATTTTACACACAATGGGAAACACACTCAAATAAATTGTCTATGACTAGTGACTACTCTACTTACCGAGGTTGATACATGAGAACGGTCACCCGTTGGTCCTTCTCTAGCAAGCCCAAAGTCTGAGAGCTTTGGCCTGAATTCCTCATCCAATAGCACATTTGAAGATTTGAAATCTCGATATATTACCTGTCCATATAATGCAATAAAACATGGTTCAATACATGTATTAATAAGACCTTGTCTTCTACAAGGTATAAAATCATCATGTGACCGGTCAGCAGGTTTATCCTACGCATTTACAAACAAATTCTGCAACATTTGGATTGCAAGAAGTGAAATCAGAAAACGAGAATTTTTATTTAAACCTACAAGTGAAGCTTTGCACCACCACCATTAAAGAAAAGGAAAGCATCTGCACAGTTTCTAGTGGTGAGAATTTTTTGTTTCCCTTGAAATGACTCAAATCTAGCAGTGAATTTTCTTGGTTTTCATTGAACAGCAATAGTCCATACTACATGTTTTCTACACATTTTATGGCGACGGGCATTTTCCTTTCCTCTGAAACGACTTGAATCTAGCAGCACATTTCTTCGTTTTAATTTACCAGCACTAGTCTTCATATTTTCTATAACTGTACCAGCACTAGTCTTTAAGTTCCGAAAGCAGAGACAACAGCTTGTAATTAGATAACAGTAAATAAACGCATCATCAAATGTGCAGTCGCGACTCACAGTTCAAATCCTCCGCCGGTTAAATTAACACATCCAAACCCAAAAGGTTGGCAAAGAGGAGCCCCATGTTCAAACGATATCGAATTTTAAGTAGTCAAATCAGATAAAATGCACAGAAAGTATATGCACCTGGACTTCGAGTCCCTTATGTAGATAAGCCAATCCTTGAGCAGCACCAAGCATTATCTTTAACCTTGTCATCCAAGGCAATGCAGGCAAAGCCCTGTTGAAAAGATGATCTTCTAAGCTTCTATTAGGCATAAATTCATACACCAACAGCCTTTGTATCCCTCTCTCTCCATCTAAACAACAGTACCCTAGAAGTTTTACCAAATTCGGGTGATTTACGACGCCAAGAAATTGAACTTCTGCAAGCCATTGCTTGTGACCCTGTTTGAGAAAAGTTAATAACCATAAGTTAAACTAGATGTGAGGTAGATATAATGGCGGTAAAATGTGAAATTTAAATGAAAATTATATTTATTGAAGAAATATTTTTAGAACCTGTAAACTACGAGGGTTTAACTTCTTGATGGCAACCCAAATCGGACTGCCCGTTCCTCCATCGGAAGGCCTGATTGCTGCTTTATAAACCCTCCCAAAACCTCCTTCCCCGAGCTTAAGCGACCTGCTGAAACCATTTGTTGCTTCCCTCAGCTCTTGGAAGGAGAAAACTCTCAAATTATGCTCCTTTTCTTTGTACAACTCTGGTATGCTCCTTGGAGATGGCAATGAACTCGAAGATTTTGTCGCGCGATCCAAAGCCGGATTGCTTGAATTGCTTTTGTTTCTCAATTCTGGAGCGGATTGCGATACTTCTATTTTGCTCTTGTGTTTTTCCTTGAAGGGAAAGAAACACTTCATTTCTTTATTCCTTGGGTTGCAAGGTCTCCACAAAATCAGCAGCCTCAACACCTCAAATCAAATGGGATATGTGGAGTTGAAAAAACGTTAGCTTGACTTCATTAAAGAGAAGACCCAGTTGGGATATATATATATATATAGAGAGAGAGAGAGAGAGAGAGAGAGAGAGAGAGAGAGAGAGAGAGAGGAAAACTCAGTTGGATGGAAACTGGAAATGAAGCAAAAAAAAAAAAACAGGAAAACCCAGTTGGAAATTGGAAAAAGAGACAAACCCATATCAGAATTTGAAGTGAAAGAAGTGGTTGACCTTAAGACAAAGAAATGGACTCTCAATTCCCTGTTTTGGAGAGAGAGAGAGAGAGAGGCGTGTCTGGAACGAAAGATGGAACAGGGATGAAAGGGACAGGACTATTTTTCTACCTATTTTCTTGGTTTAATTCAACTCGGCTGAGCACATTCAGCAGAACATATCAGAAACAGTAAGTTGACCACAAATTATTCCTCATTCATAAAGAAAAGTAATTAACGGTAGTTAATTAATTAATTTAATACGAAGTATGAATTAGATTGTGTTGGGTTTAATTAATCTTCAATCTCGTCTCGTGTCCCACGCGGTTTGCTTTCTGTCCTGCGTGGATATGAAACAATAATGGAGATGATGGTGCTGATGGCGCAGCGTTACGTCGGTCCGGAGCCGCCGTTCACATATATGAGCCAACTGCCGTTGGTTACGCATGCAAAAGCAATTGAAGTCGGTTTGCGTGCGTCACGACTCACGACTCAGGGGAATTCAAAACAAAAGTCTTAATTTTAGGCTTGTAAGATCATGTGCAATAGGGTGGCATAAAATTTAAAAATCTAAAGTTCAAAAAATTCAGAAACAGTTTTTCCTCTTTGGTAATTATGACGATTCTTTCAAACAAACTCATGTGTAAAGCTTTTGAACTTGCTTCAACTTAAATTGCTTCAATTAGGGAATAGCGCATATGGATCAACTACGCAGTTCTGCAGCGTCCTCCATCTAAAGAAAGATTTCAGGCCAAATTTGATATGGAGGAAATGTTGAAACCACACAAGGGGTAAATCAAGTTGTTCTTTCTTTGTTTTAAGTATTGACAGAAACTATTGGGTAACAGATGTTCTGAATCGCAGATGTAGTTAAATGATAAAATTTCTCTTTGCCAAGGAGAAGACAAAAGTTCGATTCCCGCTATCCTCCCAAGATAATGGATAAAAATTCATTTTTACTTAATAGATAAAGTACTAAGTATAGCTTACCACAATAATATTGGGGTTCTACTCTCCCCCATTATAAATGTTTATTCTATCTCGTATGGTGAAAGGCAGAGCACGGATCATCTGAATGGAAAGAATTCCATTTTTAAAATAAAATTTAGGTAAACTATCATAATTTATTTTTAAGAACATTTTAACCTAAAAATTTTAAATTCTAATAAATAATGAAAAATCAGAGAACTTATCACATTCTTAACACAAGTTCATACATATACACACCACATGAAACATGAAAGTCATGGAAATGGGATGAAATAATTTTGGAAGCGGGTAGAAAGAAAAGATGGAGGAATAGTATGAGGAAAGTGAATTTTTTGTGAGTGGCCATGAATTTTCCAAGGACGGAGTAAGATGGATCGAAATACAAGTACTTTAAAAGTCCAGTTATGGACTTAACGGCATCGATCAGATAAAGCCACTTAAACAGATCAATGGTGCCACCACACTCTGTTGGGCTTCAGAATGGTGAGTGAGGTTCGCAAACCTCATTCAAATTGACCATGATTGCTCCACAAAACACAAAAACCTTGTTCAACTAGAGATCAGATTAGTTTCCTATATTCTTAGAAATTCCTACAATGTACAATCTAAAGATTAGCGTGCATTGCAAATAATCACAATCCTAAAAGCAAGAAATATTTTATGCTAGATATCATCTAGGATTCTCCCAATTTAATACAAATTCTATATCCTTCAAGGACTCTCTCTGGGCTAGTATAAAGGCACCCCACCTAGGGCATATCTTTGGTAACTCGTTCATATCTATGCTTTGCTCTCTAGCCCACTACTTGAGTTCTAATACTTTATACTAACTTGACATGCGGAGATTTGACCGGTACTACACTAGTACCTTAATTAGGTTAACTACAGTTGTTTATTCTTTTATGCAAGTGGCCGATCTAACATTCTCTACCATCTCGGGTGGTGTGGAATTTTAGTTCTAATATTGTGGATATTTGAACAAATACTTAAGTATTTATAGAGTTTTTAGGTAAATTTTGATTTAAATATTTTTTATATTGTTTTTGTTGCTGGATTTAATTTTGGACCGTTAGATCTTTTTTTTTTTTTTTTCGGTTAAATTTTCTCATATTCATTTTTAGCTATTCAATTGAATGTAATAGAAGAAAAAAAAGAAAAAAACTTTACCTCATTGTCTAATATTCTTTTTCAGCTATTCAATTTATCGAGCAACCTACAGTCTTGTAGCTGATGCAACTTGTTCACTATCCTTATTGAAATGAGGTAAAGTTTTAGTAAGCGTGACCGTAGCGATCAAACTATGGGGTCCATAAATAAATTTCGGGCAGGACTGGGAAGACTACATTAGGACTTGTTGGTTCAGACTTTTATAGTCGTTGAGTGAGTTTAGATATCTAAGGTATTCATTGATTTGCTTACTACGGTATCAACAACTGGAATGGCAGTCGTTAAAGGCTTGATCCACAATATAAGTAGGTCTCACCTTGGTTAAGAGATTAATTATATACGGTTTACAAAATATGACCTACCTTTTATTTTTCATAATTTGTCGTTGGGTACATGATGTGTTATTAATCGAACACAAGATATTGAGTGTCTACCAAAAAATTGTTCTTAACAATTGAGTTATGAACCCGCGGCCATAATTTTGAAGAATGCAACAAATTAAGGGCGGTGTATCAATTGAGATATTGAGAGACTTTAATGGATTTATAAAACCATGAATTTTTATGAAGTTTAATTGATTTGTAGAGATTCCATATAAAATTTTGATTCAATTCCCTTGAAATCTCATGGGGAGATGTTAGATTTGTGGATGCTTAAAATACATTACGAAATCTCTCCAATTCCCTATAATTCTTCAACTTTCTCAAATTCTTTAAAATCAATTTATAATTGAATACATCTAGAATGTTATAAACTTCTTTAAAATCCTAATTGAATACACCCGGATATCTAAGTATTTTAATAAACTATCTTAAAATTCTAATTGAATACATCCGGATTTCTAAGGATTTTAATAAACTATCTTAAAATTCTAATTGAATACACCTTGAATTTCAGAGAATCACTTAAAATCCAGATTGAATAACCCCTAGATTCATTAAAAGAATTAAAATCCCTCAAAATCTCAATTGAATACACCCCCTAAATATACTAGAGAATTAAAATTATTGATTAATTTATTTGTTAGGAGTAATAATTCTTTTATACAAAGATAATTCTATTAGTAAGTTGTATAATTGTCCAACTATAATAATTAAGTATCGAATTCATTATCTATGGAAGTTGAATATGAATTCTCTCACTCACAAAATGAGAGAATTAATATCACTATTAGGTCATTTAGTACTACAGTTTAATGATATTCATCTTCACTTGTAAGTAAAATGCATTAGGTTTGATTATTGTCAAAGATGAATTTGAACCATATTATTATGGCTCCTCCGTTGTGAGGTTAATATACTTCTCCACCCATTTAATATAAATACTATTGTTCGTTTAAAAAAAATAAAAAAATCACTATTAGATTTAGACCATAAGACTAGTGGTTATATGAGCCGTAATTTATGTTAAGCATAATTTGGACGGATGAATATGTTGAGCGGCCGTAATATTTTTTTGGCTTAGGCTTCCAACTAAACTAATTTAATGGCCTTGCCGACTTGCATGAGTTAAGCATACCGCCAACATTCATCCTTGGCAAAAATTAAACTCTGAACTAAGTGCGAGACAATCCATTACATAAGGGAAGAGTCCACTCTTCGTAGAATCGATAAGCGACATCTTCCTTTTTTTAAGGAATATGAATGCACCTAATTTGATACTCCACTGATAAAAGACTGGAAATGTCATACTGTCGGTGTACCTCGTGGGACATTTATATATATATGTGAAGCATTTAAGGTAATATATTTTCATTTTTTTTTTATAAAAATTAGGATTACTTGTATGGTTTACACCATATTAAATTTTAACGATCTGAACCGTTAATTTTTAAATTACACCTCATAGATCATCCTTACAATATATTAGCCAAATTGGAAATATTTAAGACATCTAATTGGGTTAAAAAAAATATTAATGAATATTTTGTTATATAAGAAACAATGAAATTTTATCTTGATAATTAAATAGACAAATAATTTCGGATAGTTGAAGTTCAATGTGAAGTGAACCCTATACCTAATCTTTCTTTTTTTTTTAAATGAGGATCCCTTTTCATAAATAAATAAATATAATAAATATATATATATATTATCTATAGATAACCTAGTACTATTCACTTTATCCTTTATTTTGTCCTTATCATTAAAACTCAAAGTTTTCAAGTCTTTTTCGTTAATTTTCTTATATATCTATCTTATCTATCTATGTATTACATATAAAGTCAGAGATGTGATGAACAGTGCAGTACAGTGGAGATTAGATTTTGATGACCAAATTACCAATTTACCCTTGCATAATTTGAAATATGATTTTGGGCAGGTTTTGAATATTTTTGTCAAAGTGGATGACACCAAAATTTTTGTCTCATGTGTAAAAAATTAAAAAATATAAAAAATGAAAGGGAAGAGAGAAAATAATAAACAAATGACAAAGTTGATAATACCCACGTAATATAAAAAAAGTCTTTCACACATGAATAATAATGTGATTAAATAAATTGTCAAATGATTTTTTTTTTATTTTTTATGTAACAAACTATATTATCTACACTAAGGAAGAGTGTGGGCTTAGCCTCATAACCGGCTAGAAATAATGTGATTTGATCAGTTGTTTATTAAATATTATTTTTTCTATTTTTAAACACATTCAAAACATTGTGAGAAGTGTGTAATGCTAGTTATAAAAAAGGTCTTTCGCATGCGAATAATAATGTGATTAAATTAATTGTCAAATGATTTTTTTTTAACAAATGATATTATCTACACTAAGGGGAAAGGGATGAGCTTAGCCTCACAATCAATTTTTTATTAAATATTATTTTGTCTATTCTTAATATAAATTCCATAGAGAGCGATTTTATTATGTGAATTCAGCTGCTTTAATTGGTTTATGATCTAAAATGATTCATTTACTTCAAATATTTGACTTTCCTTTTGTCAATTTAC